ATGCTCAAATGCAGTGCACGAGGTGAGTAGCCTCGAAGAGAGACCTCAGGCAGGCTTGCCCGATCCGGACCGTTGTATTTAGTAACTGCTAAGCAATCGCTGATCGATGGGCGGATGGGCAGGGGTAAAAAAGAGCAGAGAAAGAGGAAATGAAACAAAATAAGAAAAAAATAGCAAACGTGAGCTGACCGACGAGAGCCGACACCACCGTCATTGGCAATGCATGACAAGGACCAACTCATACTCGAGTCGAGCGCGAAACATCCGCCTCAAAGCTCCGATCACGATAGCATAATGTGAGGGAAAAGAAATAAATAAAGACATTACGTACCGTAGAAAATTCGTCGGACCGATAGCACACCTCGACGAATGGAGAGAGAGACACCGTGCCGAATACTTCAAAAACGAGATGGCAGACGGTCGGTCTCCAGTCTCAGGAGGGCGGAGGATGGCCCTGTTGGGCCAGTGGATCTGCATGCGGTTGTTAGCTAACAAGAAAGCAACTCCACGCCAAAGGCAGAGAGGAACAACTGCTGTCTCGAGTCGCAACAGGCTGAGGGATGGAAAGCACGGACAAAAAAGGAACAAATTTTAGACAAGCTTGCAAAAGCATTTCAACCGTCTACGCACGTCCGACGAGGAAGAACGAAGAACAGATGCATGATGGAGGCGTCCAAGAACCCCCTGCACACGTACCCCGTGGAATACGATCGGGATGGGGCTCTTGAGTCGCCTCATACCGCATTCGAGACAAGGATGACATGGCATATGGATGGTAGGGAAGGGGAAGTCCGAGGAGGGAGGGTCACCAGCAGATGAGTGTCGAAACGATAAAGGAGTGGAGTCGTTCGAGGCGGCGGTCGCAGTCTACTGGAAGGAGATGGTCAGCGATGCATGGGCCATTGAGAGCCGCAGATAGCATGGATGAACGACGTAGGCATAGCTCGCGTACTGAGCAGAACTGGCCGAAGGTGCGGGGCAGCACGAGAGGAAATCCTCCATATCCAGAGTTGAGAGATACGTACCTTCCTTAGTCCTACTGCAACGGCACGAGAACACATCGTTCGAGCACGATGAGCCTGAGGCAAGTGCGCCTCGAGCTCGAGGAATGGATTAACGGCCGTCCGATGTCGGGGGAGAAGAACTAGAGATGGCATGTCTGCAGCCTGCCCGCCATATCGAGCGACGAACGACAAGGCTGTCGCGAACGCGCCTCGAGGTGGCGTGGTGGTGGTCGAAAGCAACCTCTGCGGCGACGTCAACCAAGGACCGCCGGACCTAGACCTATGACGTCAGTCGTCTCTCCACGATTCTGCCCTGCATCTGCCCACATCCTTATCGTCTCCCCCCTCGTCGTTTCCCCACTCCAGTACTCACACAAACCCCGACTCACAGACGGTGGACACCACCCAGGGAACGAGCGAGCAATGCGTGGTGGACTCAACGATGCCCCAGGAGCCAGGCTCGAGCTCTGCTCGACGGTTTCTGCGCCTCGTTTTGATACATTTCCACGTGCAGTGGTTCGCTCGTTTCCTAAACAACGTCGTCGCGGTCCTTATCATGATTTCTCCTCCACGTCCTTCAACTTGATCTCTGTCTGCGCTGTTCTCCCGTGCGCGTAGCCTCTCACTGTCCTGTCTGCCAGAGAGAGAGCTGGGTGTTTCCCTCATCTCTGTTCTGTGCGCTACCCCCTCGCTTGCTTTCCTTATCGCAGGTGCCTTCCGCTCTCCCATCATCCGCCTTTCTATTCCCCGTCTCCATGATCTCCCACTCCCATCTTCCCTGTGCTTTCGTCCATCCGCCCCTCAACCACCCACCGCACCCTACCTATCCCATCTCGCTCCCATCGCATACCACACCGCACGAACGTCCCCTTCGCCCATCTCCCTTTTCTGTCTACCTGCACTCAACAACCTCCTCTCTGAGGCTCGTTCGGTTCAGTGAACATATGCGTGAATATAGTTCGCGTTGGGACGTCCTTCTCGCGGTCATGTCGATCGGTTCATTTATGACGTCGACATCCATCTCGATAAGTATCCATATCCTTCCTCGCCGCCTTCTCTTACAACTCTTCTTACATGACCTCATCCTACTCTATATCCGAACAAAATCACCCCAGCGAGAATCGACATTGGTCCGTGACTCTAACGGCCTTTGCCGCTTTGTTCAGTCCGCCCAGAGAAGGGACGAGGAGATGAAGAGGTCTAGGGTGGGACAGCAGAAATTTGATGGGGGCATCCAGGGCGTCCTCAGTGGTTACTTATCGTCGAGGATTCAGGGTGTTTATGCGTAAAGTCGATGTCCGACTAGCCACATCCTATTCACTAGGAACGCGACGCTCGTTGGGGGTTAGGAAAGACGGACTGGACTCGCGCTTGGGGCTCGAGCCCAGAAACACCACCCTGAACCGCACCCTGAGCGCCAATCATTAGTTCAACCTATCCTCGAGATCGAGGTCGTGAAAATGAGCTGACAAGGACAAAGAGGAAACAAAGATATTTGACGGACGGGCAGCGTTCCACGGGCCTAATTGATAAGCGCCTTACACGACGCAAACTCCGTTTGTGAAGGCAAAGCTCAAAAAGGGTGCCATTTAATGAGACTCGCTTCGGCAGCACAGCGAAGAGGATCGGACGAGCAACCGAAATATTTATCATGTCGAGGAAACCCGCCCAAACACTGACCAAGAACAATGCGCACGGTAGCCTCGAAGGGAAGTAATCCACAGCTAGTGCACTCGATCATGATGCAAGCGCGCTTTAGCCTTAAAAGGGAATTCGTGACGGAAACGAGAGGAAGTAGGGCTCGGACCGCCAAAAAGGACGGTTCGTCACGTGACGGACCAGATCACGTGTGTGATCGGACCGTCGTTCTGCCGAGAGAAGTAGAACGCAGAAGACTGAAGCACACCGCCGACCCAAAATGAGCAGAAAGGGTGCAGAACAGGTGCAGAACATGGAACAAAAAAGACATCGCAGTGGCATGGCGCGAAACGGTTCATACGAGTGGGCACCATAACCCTGCTAAAATTCAGTTTGAATGTCGTAGACCAAGGATCGGAAGGAGGCGTTTAAACTCGGACCGGGGGGGAGGGGGGAGTTCGGCCCACGTCGGCGAGGTTCGGACTAAAGGAAGGGCCAGTAACAGCGACTAATAAATACAAAACCGAGCCCGAGGCCAAACCCGACCTCGGAAGTGAACAATAGAGGACGAAATGGAGCGAAAACCCATCGAGAACGCAACAAGTCTCGAGAAACTCGACAGACGGACGTCAGGCGTCGTAGGATGAGGAGGGCAAAACGACATATATTGTCTCCTGCGTCACCTGTTCAGAACCCGTTCATTGCCATCCCTCACCTTGTCCCACATTTATTCAAGGCTCCAAGGCTTCGACGACCTGTGAGATTCGACAGAAGGCAAGGCACAGCAGACGAAAGATGAGCAGGGAAGGGAGGGCCAGACGGGTGTGAACATCCGTAGGTTAAAGTTCCATAGCTGCTCCGACGGACAGAACAGGCATTATAATAATGGGTAGTTCGACCCGAGGGCCGTGAGCCCCATCGGTTCGAATGCCCCAGAGAAGAAAATAGGCAGAAGAATGGCACGTAATCAAGATACGGGCGAGCGAAAAAAGAAATACGCGGACGATGGTGGTCGATCCCAACGACATCCGAGTTGAAGCTTGACAAGAAAAAAGGCAGGAATAGGGTCGGCGCAAGGGCCAAGCATTCACATCCAAGGAAGGACTACGTCTACCCCTGCCGAGTACGATCCAGGCCTGTACGCATCGTGAAAACACGATGGGAGGGACGCGGAATGAAAGAAAGTAAAAATGACGGAAGAACAAACGACGAGCGCGAGTGTATGGGGTCCAGCACGTACGGAGAAGTGAAATCTCAATATGTCCAACGTCGATACGTTAAATCAACCGCATATGTGGACTCAAACCCTCAAGAAAGAAGAACGAAACGAAGTCAGAGACAAGGAGGCATACCTCGAATGATTCGAAATCGCCGCCTCCGCCTTCTACGGTTCTATCGGTTATGCGTCGTGTCCGACGAGCGAAATCTGTATCCGAAAATTAGGATTCGGTCGTGGAAAAGAGTGAAAGACGAACGAGGACACAAACAGTGTCCGGGGAGGGGCATGAGACCAAGATTGAAAAACCACTGTCACGTCAAAAGCCCGTATCTACAACTTTCTCCATAAGATTGGCGAGTAGTCGAAGTCTGCCTGCACAGCCGTTCAAACATTCCTGGGACATCGGGGCAGAAAGGAGGATGTAGAGCCGGTGCGAAGGCCTGTCGAGGCGCAGACCTGCACAGAGATTTCAGTGAGAAACCGGAAGAAAGACGCATATATGCTGAGCAAACGAACGGTTGGAGTGTGGCATGCACAAATAATGGACAAAGGAACGATATAGTGTAGTGAAAAACGAGCCAATAGCGCCACGTAGACGAGGAAAGCACGTCTCGATCAAACTCGAAGCAAGGAACGGAGCGCAGGACATGACAACTAGTCACTGGATAGATTACAAGGAGAATGAGTAAACGAAAAGAGAGCCCGAAAAGAATAAACCTCACGTACCTATAGCCGTCTAACAGGTCCTTTCTCCAGATAGATACATGGCTGGTATCGAGTCTCCCTCGCCCCGATTGTCGAACTGTCGAACCATGAACATTAAATACTGCAATTGGTGACCCAGAAGCCCCAACCGCGACGACGTGGTGCTTGTTCGAAAGCAGCTCTACAGCTGTGTTTCAGGCTCCTGGGTTCTGAAAAGGCAGATGGGAGACGGACGCGTCAGCGATGGCGTTTGTGAGCGGATGGGTAAGAAAGAAGAAGAGAAGGTGCAGACGAAGGAAATTCGGGGGAGAGAAGTCAAGGAAGGGTTTGGCGCGGGTGTGGTTCAGAGTGGGTAGAGGAGAGAGAATATGGGGTTCGAGGACGTACTGTATGTATCTCATTACTTCTCTCCACGATTGTCGAGGTAACCTTCGTCACTTTACCCCCGATCGACGATTAGGCTCTAGCGATGTCGATGAACAGCGGTGACCGGTGATCGTCAAAGAGGTGGGAGACCGCAGGTGGCGAGGGTTAGGGTTAGGGTTATAGTCGAAGAGGTGGAAGAGAGCGAGATGGTGGACCAGCACCAGCGGAGATAGTTCGTAACCTGCAGGCTATCTCGTCAGCGTTTCGGGTTCATTCGAAAGAAGGAGGTTGGCGGAGGTATGGCGCCTTCGCAGAGAACACGAACGTTGATTCGAGCAAGATGCTTTGTCCAGGGGGTAAATGGTGCCAGTGAGGCATTGTTGAGGGCGAAAGCATGAGAAGAGACTAATGTGAGGTGCGGACGTCGTCGCAAGGGCAGAAAGTAAAGACGGCGAGCTCAGTGCTGTTCATGTCCAACATGCAAAGCTGCGGAGAGGACGCAAATCAACCAAGGGCTTCCCGGCCCGATGGTCTAGACCATGACGTCAGTGGACCAAACCCGCTCGTAAGCGACGATTGGCCCAGTGATTTCCTTCCACAACGTCTCACTTCCGCCACCACCTGTGTCTGCCCATCACCTGAAGATCAGCGCTCAGCTCGTCCACCCCGATACCTTTGTCTCTGCTATGAACTAGAGACTCGGAGCCAGAGAAACCGGCCACCAGGGAACGGGCACCGTCCATAGTACTCCAACAGCGACCCTATCGTGACCACCTTTCCAGTCTCTGCATCTTGTTGGTGAACTTCAATCATAGACGGCTGTTCCCTGCTCCCCGCTGGCCTTCATACTGGTCATGAGCCGCTCTGTCTCTACTACCGGCCCGTACTCTCTCTCTCTCTTCTTTCCCGCTCACTCACCCTTCGCGTCTCTTCCGAAGATGCACCGAAGATGGGTCAGGGACAACACTTGCTCGCCATTCTCCCACCACCGCCTGACGATCAGCTCGTCCGCCTCAATTCTCTTGGCTCTGCTATGAATTAGAGACTCGGAGGATTAGAACGTGGCAATCAGGGAACGGGCACCGAGCGTGCTAATCCAACGCTGACGCATCAATTCTATCTCCCGGTTTCTGCGCCATGTTGGATCAGCAACTACTCTTGCTTGACCCGTTCCCTGTCCTCGCCCTCAGAGCTTCGAGCCTTGTCCCACTCCTGGGCTGTTCCCCCTCCCCTCTAGCCGCCCATACTCTCTCTTCCTTGTCACTCCCTTATCGCCCGCTTTTCTGTTCCATAACAGCACACGACGACGTGGAGAGGACTTTCTCGTCATCCTCTTTCCCACTATCATTCCATGGCCTCCCGCCGAGGTGCCATCGGTTTCAGGGAGCATGTTTGATAGCAGAGCAAGCTTTGTCCCTCGCCACGTCCTAAGAGGCTATCTATCACCCTTCTGAGCTCCCTGTCCTATATCGCCTCGTAGTCGTAGTCAACACATCCATCTCTCTGTGCTTAAAGTGTTAGAACGGGCAGACACCCAGGGAAACGGACACACAGCAACCTAATCCGAAATGCGCCCCAGGTCCCAGCATCGACGCATCAATGGGCTCCTGGGCCCTTTTGGATGGGGTGACACTGTTCCTTTTCCCTGGTTCGACTCTGAGACCTAGCCATAACCTTGCTCCCTTCTGGGATATAAATTTGCTAATAACTTTGACATGTCCACACCGCCGCTTGTCACACGCCTTTCGGCTTCGTCGAACGTTCTTGCTCTGAACATCTGGCCCTATGATAGGCCATTCCTTCCGCGATATATTCCAATTGCCATCCCCCGACATCAGTTCAGCGTAGTGCGTCGAATCGACTTGATACGGCTTTTCGGTCTTCCTCCTGACCTTCCAGAAGACAGCCTGCATGTGCCGGTGCTAATTCTTTCTCTCGGTTGTTGCAAAGGACAGTGCCAGCTCTCATTGCCGACGAGCTGTTTGTCACCCACGTGCATGTCCTTTGTTGGACACGCGGAGGATGCAATGTGCCCTTCATTCTGTCTTTGGCCTACAACGAACTGGCCAACAAAGGGCGCGCGGCTCCGGTGGCTTTGATAGCTCGACCAACTCTATAAAGCCCAGTTGTGGGTTGAAGTTTATTACCACAACCCATCCCACACCACACCTCGACTGGGACACGCGCGACGCGCGACTTCGTTCGTCCATCATGCACGTCGTTCAGTCTGCTCGTCTCAAATCACTGTCTCTCTCGTGGATCAAGAACATGCCTTCGTCAGTTTTTAGATCCCTATCCTCGGATATCACGATGGTGAAGCTCCACGGTTTCGAGGTAAAAAATACAGCAGGATTCCGACGGTACTCCAAGGGGCAGAGTAAGAGGCGACTCCCGCAAATCAAGAATTTACATTACTACGATCACGACACGGGTGGCCTTCTCGCCTTCCGCTCGTTCATCTTCGACTTTGAGCAGCTTCAGTTCCTCCATATCAACTGGGGAAACGTGCCCCAATGTACGTTGGGCAGAAAACTTATCAAGGCGGCAAACAAACTCGAAGGTCTAGCGTGCGCAGGTACCCTGAATCAATATGGCTCTACAAAGAAATATGAACGGCTGAATTATTTTCTCTATATTCAGTCGACTCTCCGGAGAAATCGACAGCAGGACTGGCGCAGGCGATACTCGACGGCAATTTGGATGGCAGTCTTACAGCACTGACCATCGGCCTCTCGCACAAAACCACCTCACCAACGATGCCAGACCCCGACGAGTACGATCTGTTTCTAGGGCTCATCGAAGAATTTGAGCTCCTTGCGGGCAAGAATGCCGTGAAGTACCTCATGGTTCACTTCGACACCACACAGGAGGCACACGACATGCTCACGGGCTGCCTGAGCCGGTTCGACGAGGTCATCACTCGCGAGGCCTTCCCCCGCCTTGAACGCTTTGATCTCGAATTCTGGGTTCATTACTCATGGCCGTATTACGCGCCATATGGATCGGGGTTAGAAGAGTGCTGGGCAGAGTGTAACGGCTTTCAGTGCTGTGGAGTGTCTGCGATACCAGGGCTGAGATTTGACTGCCCGTTGTTTATTATAGATGGTGAGGACGATCTATTACTCGTTGAGTTCGGTTCTATAAGACATGAAGACAATAATTAGTTTGCTCTACATCCATTAATTTTCACTGCTCCTTTCCGTATATCACCGATCTCGTCTTGCTCTCGTCAAGACCTCTTCCCGATCCCGACCCCGCATACATCTCAGCATCCCTTTCCAGAACTATCAAGCAATAGCTCGGCTCATAGATCCTGGGTATCCTATCAATCGCCTCGGCCCCAAGCCCCTGAATAAAATCTCAGGACACTAGGGAGATTTTGGACATGCAGAAATCTCCTCTGAACCGTGCCTCAGGCACGTCGGATCGAAGGGTTGAAGGTTCCCTGGCTTCTTGAGATATGTGGTGCTGACTCCGATCCGAGTACCCCGTTCTGAATCTGAGTGTCCTTTACACGGCTTGCCACACGTCTTCCAGCTCCGCCAGACATTCCGTCTCTAATATGACCTAACCCGGCAGCACGGAGGACAAATCAAGCCAAGGTTTGGATACATCGAGAGGAAGCGCATCACGCTGGCAAAGCTTGATTGATACATAAATCAAATAAAAATAAAAATATCGTCCTCAAGTAAGTAGTAAATAATGAATTCGACAGGAAATTCCTAATCATGAGCACACATAATTTCTACTTGACACCCAAATCTAAGCCCTGGTATCGCAGACACTCCTTGGCACTGAGCGCGGTTGCGCTCTGCCCAGCAGTCTTCTAACCCCGATCCGTATGGCGCGTAATTCGGCCCTGAGTAATGAACCCAGATTTCCAACTCGAAGCGCTCAAGGTGCGGGAAGGCCTCGCGAGTGATGACCTCGTCGAACCGGCTCAGGCAGCCCGTGAGCATGTCGTGTGCCTCCTGTGTGGTGTCGAAGTGAACCATGAGGTACTTCACGGCATTCTTGCCCGCAAGGAGCTCAAATTCTTCGATGAGCCCTAGAAACAGATCGTCCTCGTCGGGGTCTGGGATCGTTGGTGAGGTCGTTTTGTGGGAGAGGCCGACCATCAGTGATGTCAGGCTAACATTCAAACCGTAGTCCAGCATCGCTTTCGCGAGTCCTGTGGCCGATTTTTCCGGAGAGTCAACTGTATAGAAGTAGAGAAACAATTTTATCAGCCATCAATAGTTCTTCATAGAGCCATAACAATTGAGGGTACTTACCTGCGCACGCTAGACCTTCGAGTCTGTTCGCCGCCTTGATGAGTTTTCTGCCCAACGCACATTGGGGCACGTTTCCCCAGCTGATCTGGAGGAACTGAAGCTCCTCGAAGTCAAATACGAATGGGTGGGAGGCTAACACGCCTCCTGTGTCGTGATCGTAGTAATGCAGACTCTTGATATGAGGGAGTCGCCTCGTCGTCTGCGAAAGGTCTACTTGCCTTGGAGGACTGCCAGGATTTGTACTTTCGATCTCGTCGGAATCCTGCTCATTTTTCACCTCGACACCCTCGAGTTTCACCGTGGTGAGATCCGAGGACAGGGATACGAAAATCGACATAGGCATGTTCTTGATCCACGAGAGAGACAGGGTTTTGAGACGAGGTGACTCGACGACGTGCATGATGGACGAGCGCAGTCGGGCATCGAGGGTGTCCCAGTCGAGGTATGGCATGCTTGATATCTTGGAAACGTATTCAACCTTGACGTCGGAAAGACTGTCAGTGAGCTGGTTTAGGATCCACTGAACCGTCGTGTTCTCCGAATCCTCCTCATCGATCGCATACCGTACTTTGCGCACATACGTGGCGAGATGAGGGGACTGGGTGAAGGCGTCTTCTAGGCGCGCGAGTGCACCAGCTCGACGTAACAGAAATCCACGATATCCTCGGGAAATATGGAGATCCCTGAAGAGGACCCGTTGGCATAAGCAAGCGAGGGGGCGGGAACACCGAGAAAGGGCGCGCAAGGTCCTCACGCGTGCCTTGGATTCGAGGAACTCGACGATGATCATCCAGATCTCCAGGGGTAGCTGCTTGCTCAGTATGGCCATTCTGGGTAGTGGGAAGAAATGGTCCTGCTAGTTTTTGGAGCCGTTAGTAGTCGGACGGGTTGTAATGAATTTTGACTCACAACTTGACTTTATAGAGCTGGTCGAGCCACATCAGAGCCACTGGGGCCACGCTTCGGTGGCCAGTTCATTGTAGGCCAGATATGGAACGACATCCTCTGCGCGCCGCACAGTGAACATGTACGCTGACAAACACGGGCGCATCAGACGCTGTCGCAGAGGTTAGACTCAGACAGTGGACAAGGCGTAAGAGCCTGAACGATGCTCACTCCATGCAAAATACGTTTAAGCAAGGGGGATGTCTGATTAGCCGCGTAAGATCGCAGCCGACTCCACGTCGCGGAGGCAAGGACAAGAAATAAGAGAAAAAAGAAAGGGAGGAGACCCCAAGCTGTCAACAAGAAAGGAATGAACATAGGCAAACAAGACAGAGAATGAAAGGACGCCGAAGCTAGCGACGAGATGCACTCGCGCGGGCCAGGATACAGATAAATGCGAAGAGAAAGCGCGTTGACTAGGGGTCTGAGAGGAAAACACACCAATCGTTATTCCGAATCCTGATGTCGAAACCTCAATCCGAAGTGGAAGCCAGCAGAGGCTCCCTCCCCAAGAAAAATGAGAGAAAGTCAAACAGAGAATAAAGGTCAGAGTCGGAGCGACGGACGCCCAAAAACGAATGCCGGGAGGTGAACAGCATGGAAACGCGATCCGCATAATCTAACAGCTCGCCGACCATAACATCCGGCCTTCAAACCAAAGACCATTCGGACGAGCGCGGCCTAAAGAAGGATGTAGTACTTACTTGGATGGTTGAAAAAAATCCAGCTTCTTGTTTATGAAGCAGGAGAGAGCGTTCAAAGATTGCCATGTCATTGAGTCCTCTTTGACACGATCGCTGAGAGGTTGGCCTATAAACGACGTGCGTTGTATTCGCCTAACTGAAAGAGTATCAGGATGATATTCTGAAAGAGAATAAGCATACTATGCTGAACGGATGAAAGAAAGTAATGGGAAAGTAGACAATGGATGGTCCATAGGAGGCCGGTGAGGACAGGACGATGTTGAATACCATCAACGACGTGGAGAAGGATCGAGAATAGAGAACGAACGAAAGAGTAGGCAGGGGAACGTACCTCTAGCATCGCGTTGACCATCCGAACCTCGTCACTCCGAACCTTCCGCCTCCCGTGCACCAGTTACATTCACACTTCGCCATCTGGTGGGCCCATTCTCCACACAGCACTGAATCGAGCATTGAACCTTCGTCAACGGATCAACATCCGCTACCATCGTTATAAGGATGACGGGCGCGAGCGCTGGACGCAGGTGATTCCCAGCAGAGATTTCGAACTAAGAGGGAGAAGGACTCGTTAGCGATATCAGGCGTGAGCAGGGAGACGAGAAAGAAGGATAGAGATAGACAGAAGGAGTGGTTACTCAGAGCCCATGGCGAAATAGCAATGTCGCTAGAGCCAGCTTGGAAAGATAGAGAAGAAGTGGGAACAGTGGTAACACATGGCGAGGACGAGCTCGAGAGGAATGCATGTACACACCTTCAGACTCAGAGAACGCAAATGTCAGCTTGAGACGCAGCTCGGTGATGGAGGATAGTGCATAAGGCCTGGGATGGATGCCATGGTTTACAGCACTAATCGCGCCAGCTGTATGGAGGGAAGGAGAGCGTTGAACTCATCATATGATTCATTGTCAACAATGGCTGATGGGCACTCGGATGTCGCGGCCCGGCGGTCTAGACCGCTGCATCGAGCGACAAATCGAACATGAGGTTTCCCTGCTCTCACCAGCACCCTATTGTCCTCGGATCGACTCGCCCTCCTTCAGAGCTGCCCTCGTCACCTTGACCCGCTACCTATCTGAGACTCATGCTCACACAAAGCACGAGAAAGCGCTCACCATGTCCCAGGGAACGGGCATCACGATGGGATTCCAACGCAACTCTGACCCAGCATCTTTCTATCGATGGCCTCTGGAATTTGGTTGTTTTTTAGTCCAGCTATCAGCATGCCAATTCCCCGCGTTGTGCGCTTGCCTTCCCTGGCCGTTCTCTATTCTTCAAAGTTCAAGCACCTCTCCCCACCTCTCCGCTCTCCTCGTTCCTCGTTCCATCGCTTCCGATCCGCGTGTCCCCACCCTCTACCCTTCTTTGATGAAGTCCTACTTCACGTTAGTGCCGTCCTCACAAGCAGTACCGACGAAGCGACCTGGACGCCGCTCGCTCATCTTGTCCAGCTGTCGTTCGACGACCTTGTTTCGAGGCGCTGTCGATCCCAGTGGTCCCTCTCTGCATTGCTTAGTACTCCACTCCCGACCCACTGCCACGCGTATCCACGTCTCTCTCCAGGACCTAAGCCCCATCGCCTTGGTTCATCGGCCCAAGCTGTCCTTAGACTCCTTCGCCTCGATTCCAGCCTTTTCTCAATTCCCAGTCTCAGAACGGGACCCGGACACTAGGGAAGCAGAAAAGCAGAAGCCTTCTCCGAAACGCGCCTCGGGTCCAGACATCAAAGCATTCAGGGTTCCCCGGCGTTTTGGATATGGGCTACTGTGTTTCCTTCCCTACTTCGACCCTGAGACCCCGTTCTGAATCCAAGTCTGGTGCTTCCCCTTCGTGGATCTAAACCGTTTTCGTCCCCTTGAATCCTCATATCTCATCTCCTGTATCACAGCTCTCTCAGCCTCCGTGATTCTTTTTTTTTCCCTGTACGTCTCGCGCGATGATAGGACGTTCCTTCCGAGATATCCCTTGATCCCTCTCTTGTCCCTGGAGGTCGTTCAGTACAAGTGCTGAAATCACCTCTTTAAATTCACTCGGAAGGGTGCTTCGAGTTGGCTTGGAAGACGAAACACAGGCGCAATAAGCGGCGTAGTCCACGGTGCGCTCCCCCACACTTCGATCCGCAAAGCACCTCAATCCGTATCCATGACCGCGATATCTTATGAAAGGAACGGCGTATAGCGCGAGCCTCTTTTCCCATTTCATTCCAGCGCATATAGCGCGGAGTTCGATACTCCGGGAGGCCCGTATACGGCTTGGTCATTCCACGAAATGCTCGAATATGGTCGTGCTCGAGAGATTGGTGGCGGTGCAGACTTGGGCACATCCCATCGCACAGCCACCGCGACGCGATCAGTACCCACAGGCGCTTAGACACGCCTCTGTGCCATTTTCACGCAATCACCAGCGGCCCACCAACCAATAGAAAAGTCGGATACAATTTACACTAACGATAGATGAGTAAGAATAGTCTTATTGAAATGACTAAAAGTCGATTAGAGTTGAAATGTGAGGGGTGCCGAGTACCACAGCGTCCGGAGGAGGACCGATCAAAGCTCACAACTGGGAATGACATGAACGCACATCGCAAGGCCAAATCCATTTATCCAGATCCATTCATGCAGTCTCGTGACGAAAACACAATCTAATGATACACCGTCCACTACGCTGCCTCCTCGTCTTGCTCCTCTATCGTCTCCCAAGGCTCCAGGCCAAAGTATTCAGGCAGCTGCTCCCAATTCTTCCGTGCAGCCTCGTGTATATGTCCTTCAGCCACCGGCCAGCAGACCTCGCACAGATGTTCTTCGAACAGCTCGTGCCCACGGGGGTTCAACCCGAGCAGGCCATCGCACCGTCCATTCAAGAAGTTCGTCTTTCTGAATTGGCCACACACTTCAGCCAGGAAGCCCAGACACGTTTCGTTGCTCTTCATCTTCCTCTGCTCGCATTCTTCGGAAAGAAGTACGTTGGTGGTTACCGGCACCTCGAGCCATTCAAATAGAACCTTCCGCCGGGACGACTGAATTCGCTCACAACCCTCGACGATCTTACGGAAGACCTCCCAGTCGGTGATCCTATCTAGGGGCCCGCTTTCATCGTCCCCGCTTCGGACGCCGTTGAAGAGGTCATCCATTGATAACTGAGACGCATGATAGAATGCCATTGGCTTGAGGTCGTCCAAGCCGTATTCAGTGATCACGTTGACTGCGCGGATAGGAAAAGTGCGGAAAAACAATTCTTCCTGGTGTAGTTTGAGCCCTGCTATCATCACTTGTTTGAAGTTCGGTCTGAAGGTCGTCGGGAAGAGGTATTTAAGCGCAGCCACCCCGACCTCTCGGGGCTTGCTGAGCCCGAGTTGTTCGTTAATTCGTATAAGCGAAAGAGCGGCTTCGAAGTAGACATAGCCGCTCCCATCGGGCAGCTCCTTGCTAACGGTGCTACGGAAGGACAGTCAGCACTGCAATTCGAAATGCAGGGCGTTGAAGCTCACATGGTTCCATATAGATACGCAAGAAGGAAGCGAAAGTCGCGGAAAGCCACGAACTCGGGCAGTGGGTAGTGAGGTAATGAATAGAGTCTGAAGTCGAGGTGGACCAGATCGCCGGCTAAAGTATCCTCGAAGAAGCCACCAAGCTCAACCAGCTTCTTTCGGTGTACAAGGAACAGTGTTTTGTTCCCTGGTACCGTCACAAAAAGGTCTCCGTCTTTCAAATAGAACTGGTGATCCGGGACGTATGTAGTCTGCTGGGGTACGGCTTGAACAGGTTCCAGTACTGGAGTCGAGTGTTGCATCGGTGTGTTTGTTTCTTGCTGAAGACATTTTCGGGTCGAGCGAGTAAAGTACTTTCGCTTCTGTGGTCGCTCCGAAGACTGGATGCCTTGATGGTCATCTAAATTCTTGCGTTTGGTGGCTCGAGGGCTGGAAATGGCTGAATCGACGTTGTAGCTGTTGCTATTGAAGTCGCCCAAGTTTGAGCATGAGTGCTATGTGGCCACAGTGCACAAATGCTGAAGGCCACAGCACTACTGATGTGGAATATGCTGTGGAGCGTCAGCCCGGTGCCCGAGGGTCCATGTTGGCTCTTTTCATTCGTCCGTGGACATTGGTTCGACTCGCCCACCACCGTCATCCGCGATCTGCACCGCCTGCTGGCCATGGCACTCGTTCATGCATCGCTGACGACACACCACTGCCCGGTTGGCGACCTCCCTCGACCCACCATTATGTCTGTGCATGAGACATGGGCAACCCTGCTTGGGCAGTACGTGGTACGTTGCCCGCTTGCCCGTCTTTGCCCGCTTCGTTCCTCGCCTTTCCATCGTCCCAGCCCTTCTTCCTCTACTTCTCCGCCCTGGGCGTATTGCTCCCCCCGCACCTTCCTCGTTCCGTTGTCTGCATGTTCTTCCCCCCCTCCCTCCCTTCACGTCCCTCCCTTCGCGTTGCTGATTTCGTCCATGATCGCGCCTTTCCTTCCCTTCTGCCCTCCGCTCCCCGTGCCCTGTTCCCCGTTCCCTGCACCCCTCTCTCCCTCGCGTCTTCCTCGTTCCACGTAATCTATGCGTTCTTCCTCTCTTCTTCGTGTCCTTCCCTTCGCGTCCCCTCCCTAATTTCGTCCGTGATTGCCTCTTCCTTCTTTCCCCCGCCCTTTCATTCTTCCTCCCTTTCTTTCGCTCTCCGTATCTGTATCTTCGCTTTTCATGGACGTCGAAGCTCATGCCTCCCTCCTACAGAACGTGGATACGAATGAACTTGGGCACAGGGCCAATGTCCTTGCTCGGCCACTCGACTGTCGATAGCCCACACATTCCAAAATCAGCAAGCGCAACACCTGCAGCGTATACGAGCGAAGCTGGACTAGAAGAGTTCTCATGGGAGAAGCTGGGTGCGCTGTTGGAAGGGTGTGTTCTTGTGAGCAAGGCTGATGTGCTTGAGGTACGTATACGTTCTCCTTCCTTTTTTCCAACCCCTCCGCCCCCTGTCTCTCTCGCCTTCCTTCTCCCTTTCCTTCACTGTATTCCATCTCATCTTCGTTCATCAACAGGCTTTCAAGACCTCGACCTTGAACGTCCCACATGTCCCGCCTACCGTTAACTTCCTCCTGGACCCGCATGTGAAGAAGGCCTCTCCAATCATTGGTACTATCGTCGGTCGTCAGTACGACTCCAGCCTTGTCTTGCCCCTGGTGTTAGAACTCGAATGTTGAAGAATGACAAGATTCCGTCCAAGTGAGTCCCTCTCCTCACGCATGCTTGTCGTCCCGTGGCCAGCGTTCCTCATCGGTTCCCTCCCTCTCAAGCTCGGATTGCCGGAATACAAGACAAGACAAGACAACCCACGCTCAGCCTTCAGCCTCGTCTCCAAAGATCGTCCCCATCCCATACACCCTACCCCCAAGTGCTTCGTCATCGAGGTCTGGTCAAACTCCAATATTCAACGCCAAACCTGAAGCTTGAACGTTGGACATTGGACCGGCTCGTGAGCGAGCCGATATGATCTCACCTTCGAGCTTGCTGAGCTTGCTTAGAGAGGAGCCTTTGAGGAGCGCGACTCGGGCAGGGCTGGGTTGGAGTAGCGATGGAGTGCGAGGAACGCGACGGGCTGGGATCACGGAGCGGGTTGGGTTGGAGGACGTTGAGGCTTGAAGATTCGAGACAAGCGATGGCAGGAGACGAAGGACAGCAGAAGAACGATGGGTAGGACAAGAAAGGTGGATAGGAGCGAGGGGACTGCTATGAGCAGCATCGGCCTCAGCTCCAGTGGCAGCTCCAGGAGGTGGAGAGTGTCCGATGGTCCTGGGTGTGGGTGTGGGGTGCTGGTGCTGGTGCGTGTGTGTTTTTCTTCCTTCCTTCGTTTCGTTTTTGTTCCTTCCCTCTCTCTTTCGTCCTCGTACTCCATACTCCAGTTCTTTGTCAACTTTTGAAACCGTTCGAGCGGACCATCCTATTTTCTTTACCCGTTCAACATTTTACATTCCGCCTTCAACGTTCAACGTTCACTCCTCTCTCCAATTCAACTTCTTCCTTCCAATTTACGCGAGCTCTTTTGACTTTTGACTTTGGTGTCTCGATGGCCTTTTTCGATCTTTGAGTCTTGGTGTCGGCAATGCGTTGACGATCGTTGGACTCTCCTTCCCTTTTCTCTCTCTTGCTCCTTCTCTTCCTTCGCGTTGTCTACTGGCGTCACGAGTTGTGCGTCACGGTTGGCTCCTTGATGGTTTTTTTGGCCTTTCGCCCCGTTTGCTTTTATTCATTCCCTTCCGGATCTCCTCTTTTGCGTCCTCGAGCTCAATCCTGTTCGTATACAGGTCCAAGTTGTCGAATAACCGCCATCCATGCAATGCCTGCTTACTTGGGCAGTGGGTACATCCGAGCCTGACCACTTAGGCTGTCTTCAGAGCGACACTCGTCCTCCGCGTCATAAGATCAAAGAGCCGTACCTTTCCAGTGAGTTCCTCATGATTATTGTCGTCATGTAGCTATTCTCGCTTATGGGTAATCTTCCTCTCTTCGTCAGGCTGGATGTTTATTTGTCCGCGCTGCCTCGTTAAAATACCTTCCCAACCTCCCTGGCGGCTCGTTCGAGGTGTTTCCTCCTTTTCCTTGCCTTTGTTCACCATTCTCTGCCTTGCATATGCATCTCCGTTTATGGGACATTTATCTACTTCTTCCGACGTTCCTTCCAGTGTTGGCGTGTCTTAACTCGGACTGGCCGTCATTTTCGGCAGCAACAGCAGCGGTTCTTTCACCGTTCTCTTTGGTCCTTGTCGTGCTTTGAAACGGTTTTTGGTCTTCGAAGTTCCTGCTTGCCATCCGGTACTTATCCTTTCTCCTCGGCGATGGCAATGAAGATGTCTGATCCCGTTGACGGCTAGCATTACTTTTTTCTTTTCCTCTTTTTTTTCATGGGCGCTGTAGCTGCGTGTTTTCTTCCGACGTGGATTTCTGGTTCCCCTCTCCGCTTTCGATCAGTTGCTTTCCCTTTCATCTTTCGTTTTTCTGCGGCCTGCATCCCTTCTTCCTCCTCTTCCCCCTCACCGTCTCATTGAGCGCTCTGCGAGCACTCGGTGCGTATTACCTACTCATCAAGCCTAAAAGTTCCGGATCGGGCAGGCCAGCCTAGGGTCTCTTCGAGGCTGCTTACCCTGCACGCTGCACTCAGCAGCGTCGGCAGGGTTTCCTCGATACAGATACCCTCCCTGACCGTGCCCGATCCTGCCCTTCGTAGGTGAGTCTGCCAGATTCGGCGATGTTACCCTCTAGCATGGAAATGATCGTTTTCGTGCTTGCTTGGATGGGGGTGTGGACTGTTGGACCGTGCGGCTCGTGTCGTACTCAGTGGTTGGCTGGAATGCACTGAGAATCCGAGTAGAGACGACTTTTCGTGCTTCGTCCACTCGTGGGCTATGAGGTGGTTGAATGACGTTCGCTTTCGCGTACGTCCCACCAGGGAGGCGTGCTGGTGATTCAGGATGTATATCCTTTCGCCATGCTTGGTTTTGACCGGACGAGAATAGACGAGATGGACAATCCGATTCGTTATTTATATTTCATAATACCTACTAGCACGAGGTCTAAAGCATCCGCGAAATTTTGTGGACATGTAAGGGGGAGCTTGTGTGCATAAAGAGATACGTATCCGAGCCCAACATATATTCTAGAGAGCATGAAAAAAAAAACATAACATGACCGCCACCGAATCATGCGATTTGGGGTTTTGGGAGAAATACTCCGACTCTGCGAACGATTGCAGCATACATAGAAGAAGCAGACAGAATTTAGGGCTCGAACGCCCCGAGGATGATAACAGAGCTGGAGTTGTTCGACTCGGAGTGGAAAGGCAAAAATAGAAGTAAGGAGTGAAAACGCCAGCGTGGTCATGGCGTGTGAGAACGTTCCGTGTACTGACCTAATCCTCCTGTATGTCCGCTGAACTCGACGTGAGCCGAGGCGAGTGGTAGATGGACAAGGGAAGGACAGGGCCAGCAACGGAGAACGTTCATGTACCACGTACTGGGCTGGATCTGAGGGGATAGGGGAGGGGATGGATGACGATGACAACGAGGCGGAGCCTCAGAGGGGAGTAGCAGACGATGGCAGTCGTTGGCCATGCATGAGCATCAGATGCCCGTTCCCTGGGAGACGGCCGTCTCTGGGTAGGCCGTTGATTGGGTGGACGCGGGGGTTGAGTACGTTGAGTACGGAGAGGGCAAGGAGAGGGCATGAAGGAGGAAGGAGGGAAGGAAGGATCGTGCTGCCCTGATATGGGGCCCCCAACATAATCCCTTATACCAAACTTGATACTATACGGCTGTACACCCCCCCGAGACAGTGGTTTCCACAACTCAAAGACTTTTACTGTTAGATACAATAGTTTCCATAGCACAGGGCCTGTAAGGGCCACCGCGTCTTAGTACCTAGTTACTTGTTGCGGGATATAAATGCTGATACAAAAAAAAAGGAAGGATCGTGGACCGTTCGGAGAATGAATGACATCATGGGTCTAGACCTTCGGCCCGGGAATCCGCGTTGGTTCCTTTCGCTGACGTCGCCGCGGACTTTGGTTCGACTCGTCCACCACCATCGTCCACCGAGTCGCCATGCACCCTGCACCCTGCACCCGCCTCAGCCTCAGCCTCAGCCTCAGCCCAGTAGAATTGCCGGCCCCGTCTCTCGTCGACGTTTCTGGACCCTTTCAGCGTTATCCGCCCGCCATTAGGGCTACTCAGGACTCGGCGCACCGCCCTCTCCCCTCTCCCACCCATGGGCCTGGGCATGAGCACGGACATGCTTGGACGCAGCACGTGGTACGTTGCCTGCTCTCGTTCTTATAAGTAAGTGCCCTGTCTTTGCCATTACCCGCTCGCGGGAGAAGGGTGGTGGGTGGAGAGTGGGGGATCTGGCATAGGAGCGAATGGGTACGGGGCTGTCCGATAAGAGACGGTTAGTAAAGAAGTGAGGGAGGGGCGGGGGGAGGAACGGAGGTAAAGATGGGGAGGCTCGAGGAAGTTTCAAATTTTGGAACATTCGACCTGAAGCCAAAGTTCTGTGAGGAGCATGGGGTGATAGGCCTCGCATGTCGCACAAGACTACACTTTGCTCGAATTGAAACAGGGAACGAGCGAGAATGCGACTACCACCACGGACACGAGAACGTCCCCTTTCGCCCATCGAGAGCATGTCCACTACACTCGACGACGCTCAAAGATGAGGCCTGAGCTATATGTGATGGACAAGACGACCCGGACGAGGGGACGTTCGATTCTGACAGTGGTCGTACGGAGCGAATCGTGAATAGACTCAGAGGATGGCGGGCGAGGGTGTAGGCATGAGAGGATCGTCGAGCGGATAGGCGGGGAGACG